TGTTGTCGCCCTGTTGATGACGCCAGCGACGCTGTTTAATCGGGCGCGCTTTAGTCGAGCGCGGTTTTGTCGTGCCACGAGGGGAAAGCATGCACTGCTGCTCCCTTTGGCTGGGGGTCGTCACCACTATCCCTAACCTCTCTGTAATGCAATGAACTTATGCTGGCAGAATGCCAGCCTTACACCCAAAGTAGTCCTCTTTCCTTAATCTCCAGGTTCTCTCCTATCACCATCGACAGCATGACCAGTCTGGCGGGAGTCAATTTGACCGGGGCCTCCAGCGCCGGCTGGTGCATCTTTGTGTACAACCTCTCTCCAGAGGCGGATGAGAGCGTCCTCTGGCAGCTCTTTGGGCCCTTTGGAGCCGTCACCAACGTCAAAGTAATCCGCGACTTCACCACCAACAAGTGCAAAGGCTTTGGCTTTGTCACCATGACCAACTATGACGAAGCCGCCATGGCCATCGCCAGCCTCAATGGCTACCGACTGGGTGACCGAATCCTCCAGGTTTCCTTCAAGACCAGTAAGCAACACAAGGCGTGAGTGAGCAAAGGCACCAGAGAGATGGGGGGGGGGGGGGGGGGGAAGCAACAGTGTGCTGGAGACGGCTCTCTTCCCCAACTCGCCACAAGAACGGAAATGTTCATTGACTCAATGTTGCAGAATATTCAACCGCCAGACACACCGTGATCTTTGGGAAGCAGGAGGCCCCTCCCCCTCCTCCTCCCCATGCCCGACAGCCCAGCGGGGAAGCACGGATGCAGCAACTTGTCAGCCACTTCTTGAAAATTAAACCCTGTTCTGACAGCATGCAGGGGTGACATCTGCTCAGAATAGGATACCTCTCTTGTTTCTATGCTTGGTGACCCCCTCCCTCTTTCAAGGCTTTCTTAACATACATGTGCCCAGATCTGAAGCTTCCTCCAGTTCTCCATATATCTTCTTTCCCTCTATGAATTCCACACCTCTGTGGTTCCTTTGGTGGACAGTTTTTCTGACCCTGGAGGATGGAAAAAACAAAACAACACACTACTCCCGGTAAGGTGTGATAGAAATGCCCCCCTTCATGTTAAAACATTGCGAACCAACAAATCCGAGAAGGTCATGACTGTTACTCTGAGCTAGCTGAGGGGGAGGAATTAAAAAGATTCAACTCACCACCTTTGTTCTCTTATGATGCAAAAAGAAAGGAAAAGAACAAACGTGGTTGGAGGAGATTGCACTCATCTCATCTGTTGGTCTAATATGTTAGTGATACAGGTTCTTAATCCCACCGTTTTCCTTGGCCCCTAATTAGAACGATGCCATATTTGGGAAAATAAGTCTAACCTTTTATCTCTGAAAAGAGGGGACTTCCTATTTGAGTCCAGAGAAAACTCATTCCGTGGGAAAAGAAGGACCATTTTACACTCGTATGTTGTAAAATTTGCTGACCAGGTTTTGAATATTTGCTTATTTATTTAACTACTTTACGTTGAAATGAAAGTTTGGACCAGAATGATGTAAAAAAAAAGGGCAGCCAAGAATTTGGCACAAAGTCCAAGATTTCTAGAGTCTTTATAGCTTCTAATCAGGTTGTAAGGACTAGATAAGTTTCTTACGGGTCAGGAGTAGGGATTTGCTATTTGAGACGTTATGGGGCAGTAAAATTAAACATTTTATTTTTCTTCTTCCCCGAGATGAAATGTTTTTTTTTCCCCCTTTTTCTTGTAAACTGATCTTTCATGAGAAATTTATAGAGCCAAGCACAGGGGAAGGAAATCAGCCCCAGACTTGTGATCATTGACAACTGAATATAGATTGAAAGGTGTTTGGGGCAAAGGGAAGATGGTTAGTATGGCTGAGGTCTTTCTTTCTCTTTTAAAATAAATAAGTGACCAAACAAGGGGGAAAAAATCATAAATTTTAAAAGGTAAAAACTGAAACAAAGAAGAAAACCCAACGAAAAATTAAAAAAAAAAAGATTTTAAAAATCTATTTTTATAAAAAAAAGGAAAAAGAGACCTTGCTGGAGATTTTGAGGTTCTTGAACTTCATAGAAAATTCACAATAACAAATTCCAAAGGGGCGAAACAAACAGAACACCAAGTGCGATTGCTGTGCACGGTCCAATCATTCCTTCCAGTGGGCCTTTTCAAACAATTAACAAAGATAACACCCACCCACAGAGATTGCTAGCAAATCTTAGGCATCCCCTGATGTGTGACACACACTCTCCCCATGTGCAGAGTTAGGATAGGAGTGTTAGTATCGCTGTAAACTGTGTTTTTGGCAGAGTGAGGACAGGATAGCCAAGGACGGTTGGCTTTTCTAGTTCACATTCGAAAGGGCCCATCCCAAAACCAGCATCTTCCTCTTGGTCCATTCCGCCCAGCTTAGTCAAAAGTAGGGCAGCTCAGAGATCGAGGCTGGATTGTCTTTTATATGTAGGACATCTGAGACCAACATAGAGTGGGGTCAGTGTCTCGTGATTCGTAGGGCAGCACACAACAAATGAGACACTTACAAAAATTTTTACAAAACCCTACCAATTAAAAAGGAAATAATTAGCCAGCAGAGGGATGGCCAACAGAGGAAAATCAGGTTCTTCAAACCAGATGTCCTGGACACACAAGCCCATAAAAAGTAGCTGTCTTCTACCTACTCAACATTTTCTCAACAGTAATGGGAAGATGCGGAGACAAGGCGTTTTCCTCAAATAGGGAGCATTGCAAAAAACTGTCTACACCATTTAAATCAGTGTCTCTCAACCTTGGTGACTTTAAGTCCCGCGGACTTCAACTCCCAGTTGAATTCTGGGAGTTGAAGTCCGCGGGACTTAAAGTCACCAAGGTTGAGAAACACTGATTTAAAACAATTGAGCATCAAACACATGTTTTAATCTGTGTATTGGAGGGGAGTGATATGGTGGCGGTGGGAAATTGCCTGGAAAGAGCTTCGGATTCTTGTGTAGAAGCAACACTTTATGTCTCAGGTCCCAAAGATTTTAGGTGATTTTGTCCCCAAATATCAAAGTCAGGAAGTGGAAACAACTCCTTTTATTCCCCATTTTCTTTTCTGTTTCCTTTTTCCCTTTGCATTTTTTTTTCCCTTTTGCGGGAGGAGGCGAGGAGGGAGTAGAGAGGGCTACAATAACTTGATTGTATTAGATTTCCAGCACCACCATTCTCTCGCTATCCCCAAAAGCCAAAAAAGGACAGAAAACTTAACTGAAGTTTCGAAAAGAAAAGCTGCGGGCTTCATCGTAGAACCACTGCTTTTACTCACATCAACTTCCATAAGTTTCTTTTTTTTCAAAAAAAAGAATTACAAAATTACTGGGCAAAGTTAAGAACTCTCCCCAGGAAACCAGGAAATGCTGCTATGCACAGTCCCCTGATTTCCGTCTCCGTGCGCAATCTCTTTAGAAGGCATCGCTCTCTTTCTGATCAGGGCACAGGAGTCGGCTGCTCCTTTTGCTGCGGCTGAACTCTGGAATCCAGAACTGAGCTGGAAGTCCCTGCCAACCACGAGGGGAAGAAATGCGTGGTTCAACACTCTTAACAGTAGCTGATAAAGGAGATAACAAGCAAAGCTTGTTAGTGTGAGGAGGCCACGCAGAGCTGCAAATGCAAGATAGAGCCAGAGGGAAACTGGGAAGTTTCTGTGGAATAAATTTAGCTTAGTAAGGTTGGATTCCCTACCATTTGAAGCACCGAGAGGGTCCTACATCTAAATGTGGGGCATGGCTGCCCTAAAAATAGCAACCAAGGACTGTTCTGGACATTAGGATGGCAGTGAGGTAGGGGGGGAAAAAATACTCCAGAAAAAGTCTCAATCGCTGTCCCTGATACTCTCATCCTAAAGGGCTGACCTGCTCCTTCGGAGGAGCTACAGCCGGTCAGTTTGGCTCTGGGGCGTTGTGGGATTCTTTCCCAAATTAGCTTCCTTGAAAGCTTTCTTTCTAAAAGCCCCTCGTCTCTTTCCATCCAATCTGAAGAGATCTCCATGGAAGGTTTGCCACGCGCCCTTCCCAAACCCACTTTGGCAACCCCAGGCTAATTCCTGGACTTTCACATGGATTCGGATGTTTCTTTTAACACTCCCCCACATTTAGTTTGCTTGCTGAATGTGAAACCCCTTCTCGCCCTATAACCTTTTCTTGCTTGTCTGGGAAAGGGGGCTCGGAATAATCCCCAGGCCTACTGCCGTTTGTTATCGGAAAGGAGGGAAATGCTGGTGTGAGAAGAGATAGCGATGCAGCAGGTTAAATTAAAAGGCAGAGTTCGTTGTTCCTTGCACTTCTCAAATGAATGATGAGCAGGTTGTGGTGCAGACAGTGGTAAGATCTAAGGGTCTTGACTAGCTACTAACCTATTCCCATTTTAGATAGGGTTTTGTAACCAGGATGGATCTTTCTTTAGGGTTCCATCCCCCTTAAATTAATATTTCCTTCCCTCCAAATTAACCAAACGAAATCTCCAGCTCTGGAACGGTGCACATCTACATCCTCGACTAAATTTAGCGCCACTTATGTATGTAGTGGCTGATCACCCCCAGTAAAGGATATATTCCTCGATGCCAATCATCCCTGTAAGCAACACTGCACTTTAGCACCACATGGACCACCACAACTGAGACTTTGCTCCGATGCCCACCCAACGCTTGCTGGTCTCTTAGATGAAGGGATCCAATTTCTCTCTTCTATGCTGTAAAGCAACTGTGGAGCAATCAGACCATAAGAAGGCCTTGTGATTCCCATGCTTTACAATTTCTCTCAGGGGGCTCCTCTTTTTCTTCTTCGTGGCAGCAATAAATCTTCTAGTCCTTTTGAGATGAACACTTCTGCTTGGGCTCTTGGCCTTTTTTCTGCAGTCTGAGGCAGCGTGGGGGTGCTGGTTATAGTACAGGCCAGCATTGTGCTTATCTCACAGTAAGGTGTGCTACTTAAGACTACCTTTCTGGTCCTTGCCAAAGACACGCTTCATGTCTTCTCGTCGGACATCTAGCTTTCAGCCTGATTTCCTTTCTCTAATTTCAACCTGACAAGCATGTCTGCTTCTCTCTGCTTTGATACCGGGCCACATAGACACCTGGGTGTGTGTATGCGCACGAATGGGCAGATGTGGGGAAGAGAGGCAGCAATCCTAGATCCACGTTGCAAACATACTGACCTAGCCAAGATTTGGGGGGCAGCCAATAATGTCGCTGTGAGTTTCAGCTGTGTGGTGGATCCTTTTCCTGAAAAGACCAGAGTAATCACACCTTCGGGATCTTGCCTGTCAAAATGCACGCCCCCTTGGATCCTTGGCACTACCTGCAAAAACAACACACAGATCAAGAGATCCAGGTGCTTTGACATGGCTGGGGTGGTAGCGTGCCCACACATCTATCCAATGGGACTTTAAAATAAACTCGCATTACGGAAGCCTAAATCTTCCCAGTAGCCTCCCGTTCTAGTCTTGCTTTCGGTTATTTGAAGATGAACGACTATCGCGAATGATAAACTTTTTCCCAATCTCGCATCCTGGCAAGGGATGATTCCCTGAAGTTAATGAAGGGATTGTCTCTAATGACAAATTAAACAGTGAGCTACAGTAACAGTAACCATGTAGAGCAGTGTTTCTCAACGTTGGCAACTTGAAGATGTCCGGACTTCAACTCCCAGAATTCCCCAGCCAGCATTCGCTGGCTGGGGAATTCTGGGAGTTGAATTCCGGACATCTTCAAGTTGCCAACGTTGAGAAACACTGCTGTAGAGCCTTGAATAAAGACTCCTGTCCAGAAGCCCATTCTTGTCTCTGTCTCATTAACCTAAAACTCTTTTTGTCAAGGTGAAGCTAAAACAAACTCTCCTGCCCTTACCTTTTAATCCTTCTGTGTGGGGTGATGCTTCTTTAACAGGAAGCCAGAATGATGCAAAGGTTGTTTTTTTAAATAAAAATAAAAATGGGCTGCCTCAATAATTAGCACCTGGCCTTTGTCCTATCATCCTTGGGTTGGAGGAGGCTTTCCTGGTAGGTCCTTGTGCTGAATGTATTCTCAGTAACCTCATAGTAAATTGAGAGAAGCCCTGGAGGGTCTCATCCTATAGTGTGCCCGTTTTCCTACGATAACGAAGTGCTGCTAGATGTCAAGGGGCAGAGGCTTCTTCTTGGCTTGTCAACAAACCATTTTTTCAACCTTGGCTGTGTGTAGACAGGGAAGAGAGGCAGAGGCTAAGGATACAGGCCAAGCCTTTTTCTCTTTAATGTTAGCCAGCTTCTGTCCGTCTGCTTAAAAGCAGGAAGCTGAAAATGTTGAGTTTTTTAGCCTGCCTGGCTGCCATAAACGCCGAATAAATACTTTTGTTGGAGTTTTAACCATTTCTTCCGAAGGATCGCCCTCTTTCTCAAATTAAGCCAAAAGAACCCAGAAAGGTTTTGTGAAATGTCCAATGGTTTCTCTGTAGGGCTCCTGCTTTAAAAAAAACCTCTTTTATGTTTATAGCCGCCTCCCTTTAGACTTGAGCCGTGAAGTGGGATGAATCTAATTGTACAGGTTGTGCTCCAGTGACGACACCCAGGCCCACCTTCTTTTTCCCCTTCTTCCTTCCCACACGCTGAAGGGAATGAGAATTTCTCTTAAAAAAAAATCTAATTGTAAAAGGGGATGAAATTGCGGTTGCCTTTCCCAAGGCATCTCTTTGGATCTCTGTTAACCAACACGTTCTGAAACATGCACACATGACCTAATTTCCATTTTTGTTTCTTCATTTATTTTGGTTGGCTAAAAACAACTGAGAGTCATCGATAGCACTCGAGCAAGGAGACTTTATTTTCATTTGCTCTCAAAGGAAAAAATGGAAAAAAAAACGAACAACACTTAAAAGACGAACTTAATGATAATTAAACATTTTAGCATTAGTTCGAGTTTTAATTGTTTAATGATTTAGAAGTTAGT